TGATGTAAGGGGGGATTCTGATAGAGACCTGGAGGGACTCTGATGGAAACCATGTTGTAAGGGGGTACTCTGATAGGGACCCTGATGTAAGGGGGGAGGACTCTGATAGGGACCCTGATATAAGGTGGAGCTCTCAATGGAACCCTGATGTTAGGAGAGATTCTGATGGGGACCATGATGTAAGGAGGACTCCGATGGGAACCCTGATGTAAGGAGGGACTCTGATGGGGTCCTTGTTGTAAGGGGGGCTCTGATAGGGACACTGTTGTATGGAGGACTCTGATGGGCACTCTGATGAAAGGGGGAGTGTAATGAGTGTCTGCAATAGAGACATGGAACCTGTACATGACAGCCATTTTTGTTTTTCCTGAGGAATGATCTTCCTCCCCTCCTAACTCCTGAAAAATATGGAATTAATAGCTGTAACTTTTAACAAACTTCAAAAGAACTTCTTATCTTAATTAAAACACAGACCTGTCTAGGGCTGTAAACAGCTAATGAGTCCTCGCAGGATGCCTGTTTCCATAAACCATGGAAAACACTTTTATCTGCCCTATCGTAAAAGAATAATAACTCAGTCAAGCAATCACACATGAAGTGTAAGGCCATTAAGGCTCTAGGAATGCAGAGCGTGCCATATTCCACATGTAACAATTCCACAAACAATTCACAGAATTCAACAGGAACTAGGCACAGTGATATTTGAATAGGGAATATCATACCGAGCAAATAAAGGTCATATATGACTATGTTAGCACATAGGAGAGGGTTGAAAGCAGTCTCTTCCTTCCTGGGTGACAAGGTACACTGTGTTTGCTATCCCTGGGTTTGAAATATAATTCTGAATCATAATCTGCCAGTTGCTAGAATACCATCTGCATGTATTGGAGGTTTTTAATATTAGTGCAAAACTGTAGTTTGGACTTGGTCATAAATTTGGTGACCTCCTAGCACCCATCCCTTAACCTCTTCCTGTCCGGACCATTGCCGATACACGGCTGGACGCGGCGGCTGCCAATGTGGGTAGATGTTTCTAAACATCCCCGTGCATGCATTGCCTGTGTGTTCTCCTTGGGAGTGTGCGGCACCGCGATCGGTGCCCGCTGTGCCTGGAACACAGATCACTGTGCAGGACCTCTGTGTGAGGTCCCGATTCATGTGATCACTGATTGGCCAATGCATCTTGTAAGGACATGAACTGATTGGCTCCTTATGCTGCTTCTTCTTCTCACACCGCAGCCCTGCTGTACATTCAGGTACTTACACCATTTACAATGCAGAAATACATTTAGTGATATATTAATGATTAAAGAGCCGCATGCAATCTGTAGGAAAGTCTATAATATTCCTATAGGGATCATTATATTAGAATAAGAGGGGATATCACAGTGGCTGAATGGTTAGCACTTCTGCCGGGCAGTACTTGGGTCGTTGGTTCAAATCCCAACCACAGCACCAGTCCAGTCCAGTCCCAGGCTGAGCTGTCAGTGGCGGCTTCTGTGTGCAGGGGAGGCAGCCGAAAATGGATGCCCCATTGTAAGTCTATGGGTGACAGCATTGACGGTTTTCTCTCTGCACACAGAGTCTGCCACTGGAGACCAGAGCGGCTTCAGAATACACTCATCGGCCACTTTATTAGGTCCACCTGTTCAATTGGGCAGCACAGTGGCTAAATGGTTAGCACTTTCGCCTGGCAGTGCTAGGGTCCTTGGTTTGAATCCCAACCACAGCACCACCTGCCATGTTCTCCCTGTAGCTGTGTGGGTTTCCTCCGTGTACTCCAGCTTCCTCCCACATTCCAAAGACATGCTGGTAGGTGAATTGGCTCCTGTCTAAATTGTCCCTAGTATGTGTATGTATGAATGTGAGTTAGGGACCTTAGATTGTACACCCCTTGAGTGTTAGGGACCTTAGATTGTACACCCCTTGAGGGTTAGGGACTGATGTGAATGTACAATATATATGTAAAGTGCGGCGTAAATTGACAGCGCTATATAAGTACCTGAAATAATAAATAGATAGCAAAAGCTGTCGGATCTGCAATCTTCCATCCAGAGCTCATATTCCTCTCCCTGGACATTTTTGTAGCTGGTGTGCTTTAAGGTGACCTTGACCCAGTTGGTGAGCCAGCCGCACTCAGGTGTATTTGTATAGGGTACATTATATATTCAAATCCATCCTATACTGGTGAATCTTCCTCCTAATGAGCAGCGGATCTGTCAGACCCCATCGATTTTATACACAAGGGAGGCTCTGTGCATACCACCCCCCCTGGGAGGATTCTCCAATGTTTCAGCATAATCCTATACCAGGCTGTTTTCTTAAAACCTCAGCATGTATGTTAACCCTTCTACTCCTGCGCTGTTTGATTGCACTTCCCTTTCTGTACGGTGACGTGGGAGCCTGGGTTATTATAATATCATAGAGCATTCCCACTGGTAGACGCGGTATGGGCAGGGGCCAGAGATGCCCCGCTGCTTATTTATCTAACGCCTTGCTGCCCTGCAAACTTGCAGCGAAACGTGCGCTCTATGGGGCTCAAAATATGCTTGCTCACACTTCTACTTTAATTGCGGAGCCAAGGACATTTAGAAAAACACCGTCCGGGCCCCCCGGGTTGTAAGAAATGTGAAGAACTGGCATTGAGTTCTGGAATTGCAAATAGTTACGGAAAGAACGAGAGGAACTCAACAATTAGGACAGTAGAAGGCAACTTGCAATATTTAAAGGGCCTTGTGATGGACTGCTTGGCACCTCAACTGGGTGCCTCCATCAACCAGTGCCTCCTGCCCTCCAAACCCTTCCAGCAGACCGATAGCTAAAACCAGCCCTTTACCCCCAAGCCTCATATACAGACAAGATGTTGAGGTAAAACTAAAGGAATAACTGTTTATTAAAACCCAGGCACATACTTTATACCCTCAGGGAGGACATTCCCTTTTAGGGATATTGGTATAGATAGGAGAAGACGTACAACCAGTGAAAAAACATGGCACTGCCACCGTTCAACATGAATCTAATTAACAGCTAGGCACCTAGACAAGTTGTATCAGTCTGGCTAATAGTCACAGGAATTCCCAACCCTGCCTCCCTTGTCTATGTGCTAAAAAACATGTCCAGAATAAATCTTGATTAGTCAGGGTGTGCCCACCAGGATGCCCAGAAATAGTTCCAAGGCCCCAGATAGACAATGTACATTACACTACTTGTTTCTAAATGTCCCACCCCAGATCCAGCTCGGATCCAGGATATCAAGTGGCACATCATCGGTGGAAAAAGTTAATAGTATAAAGTTGTTAGTAGCCGGGCCAAAATGGGCAAATGCTACATTATGCAGCCCTCGAGGTCTAGCCGAGGCAAAATGGGCAAATGCTGCATTATGCAGCCCTCGAGGTCTAGCCGGGGCAAAATGGGCAAATGCTGCATTATGCAGCCCTCGAGCTTTAGCCGGGGCAAAATGGGCAAATGCTGCATTATGCAGCCCTCCAGGTCTAGCCGGGGCAAAATGGGCAAAGGCTACATTATGCAGCCCTCGAGGTCTAGCCGGGGCAAAATGGGCAAATGCTGCATTATCCTTCGAGGTCTAGCCCGGGGCAAAATGGGCAAAGGCTGGATTATGCAGCCCTCGAGGTCTAGCCGGGGCAAAATGGGCAAATGCTGCTGCATTATGCAGCCCTCGAGCTCTAGCCGGGGCAAAATGGGCAAATGCTACATTATGCAACCCTCGAGGTCTAGCCGGGGCAAAATGGGCAAATGCTGGATTATGCAGCCCTCGAGCTCTAGCCGGGGCAAAATGGGCAAATGCTGCATTATGCAGCCCTCGAGCTCTAGCCGGGGCAAAATGGGCAAATGCTGCTACATTATGCAACCCTCAAGGTCTAGCCGGGGCAAAATGGGCAAATGCTGGATTATGCAGCCCTCGAGGTCTAGCCGGGGCAAAATGGGCAAATACTGCAGTATGCAGCCCCCGAGGTCTAGCCGGGGCAAAATGGGCAAATACTGCAGTATGCAGCCCTCGAGGTCTAGCCAGGGCAAAATAAGAAATATGCACATGAAGAGTTCCATATGGTGAAGGTGTGTCGGCACGATCTGCCCAACACAATGTTCCTGCAGACCCACCACTGTTCATACTCTCGGTAGATACCCCCAGCCACTCAAAGGGTTTCAGGATCTGGCCACGCTGCACTGTCACGCCCTTAGGCTGGAAGTGACGGTGACCGGAGCCGGAAGTAAAGGTGCCCAGAACCGGAAGTGACACGACGTTGTCAGTGAACACTAATCCGGAGGTGGTGGCACCCACGGTCTCCAGGCTTATTCAGTAATATGATACCGGGCTTTTTACTACAGTTTGCTTGTGAGTAATATCCATTTGGATTAATAAAGGATCTTGCTTTTAATACTACACCATTGGAGCGCCTCTCTGCTTTTTGTTTTACATGGTGATCATGGGAAAGAGGAATATCATGCTTGTATGATACATAAGCATTGGAATATACGAAATCCTTAATAGTTTGAACCATTATACCTTCATGATGGTTGTACCCCATTGGTTATAATGCGCTTATATTTGGGGAATTATTCTTTGAAGCCTGTTTTGCCAACCAGGAAAGTGGGAGGCAACAACTATTGGTGAGTGCAGATCCGTGTGGGGGACACTTTGAGGCACCTGATTATTATTAGACAGCATGTGGTGGATTCCAAAGGAGGAACAATTTCTGTGGACTTTGGATTATTATATACCATTTTTGTATTCACAGTAATTCACTGTTATCATTTTATTGATTTATTCACATTTTATTGCGTGGTACTCACTATATCACCTCATCACTATTAATTTAGCGCCACTATAACTTTTTATATGTTGTCTTATTCACTTATTTATTACGGTTTGTTTAAAGTGGCAGCAGTTTTTTTAAATTAATATATATTTGTTGAAGATATTTGACACACTAAGCGCAATTTAATAGGTGTTGATAAATATCACATACACATTTGTGTAGCCTCCATGGCGGTATTCCCGAAAGTGTAGCCCGGGGTAAAGTTTCAGCACCACAAGCGGTAACCCCCCCGAGCTACACTTGGGAATACACTGCAGCGCTGCTCCGGGATCTCTTCTTCACTTACCTTGTCCTGCGCTCCCGCGATGTCCCTCCTGCAGTGTCTCCTGTAATGTCCTCCAGCAGATGCCGGCATTTGTCATCTGGGTTCCGTTCCCTGCGACGTCGGGATGTACGGGGGAGGGAACTGGCGGGAAATTTGAAAATGACAAAAATGACAAAAAGTGACCTTCACTAAATTCACTAAAATCACATAGTATAACATTCCTGTATCAAACCATTTCACATACATTTTGTCCCGAGTGCTTTGTCCGGCGCCCTGCCTGTATTTTTACTGTTCTTTCTGCCTGGAAACTGAGAAACGTCCATGGCGTCCAAAAAGCGTCCCTTTAGGTCAAAAGCGGTTTTAGACCGGCTAGAGAACAGCGATAGTAAATCAGAACCACTTGCAGAATTGAGTGATAATGATTCGTGGGGGAAATTCCTCATCAGACACTGAAAACGATTCTGCGACTTTGCTCAGCGATGTGCGAACTTGGCGCTATATTTCACATTTCAGTGTTTTTGGTTTGATTATATTATTGAATTAAATTTATTATTATTATATTATTATTTTTTATGATTATTTATTATAGTATAATTTATGATTTTGTGTTTCAAATTTTATCATCCCCGGGATGTTTACTAGACTCTTGTTCGGACAGATTTCAGTGAGTTATTCCTAAGAATTACAGCCTGCAATAAAAAAACAACATATTTCCATGCAAAAAAATGTACCACTTTGAGCACAAAAATACTGACATAATCAGAACGCTAGGGAGGTTAATATATATATTTGTTGAATATATTTGATACACTAAGCACAATTTAATAGGTGTGTTGATAAATATCACATACACGTTTATTTAACACACTTATTTAATACGAAATTAACAGTTGAACACCAGCACTTTGCACTTATTTTACTGTTTTGGGACTGAGTTATATGACATTTCATTGTTTTATGCACACATTATGCACGATCTATATGCTTACATATTTATTTTTTGTGTGTTTAGGTTCAAAATTTAAGACGACTGCAGTTGATAATTAGAGATTTTTATATATCTATAAGCGCAAGAGCACATTTTTTAAATATTTTTTTAATATGGTTGGTGGATGGTGACCTTTGCCGGCAAATGCAACCTCAGTGAGAACCGCACCTCTGTCTGGGAGCTCCCAGAATCCTCTGGTGGGGGATGACTAAACATCTGTTTAGTAGCTGTGAAGCCAATTACAAAGTAAAACCGAAGAAGGAGGCTAATGAGAACAGAATACATGAGAAGAAACTCATTGATCTTCAGTTCTTAGCTGCAAGCATCAATAGACTTTACGTTTTTTGGTTTAGATCTCTCACTTTATGGCCCAGAGCTGGAAGATTTAAGTTTTGAAAACTCACTAGTACTCTGTTGCTGGTTGTCATAAATATCTAATGAATGGGTGGGTTGTCTTTTAGGGACAGTCCTGACAAAAGTGAGATTTCAGTTATGTGTGCAGCCTGATGCTTTAACCCCTTCCTGCTGCCCATATGCATTTTTGTGGCAGCGCGGCGTGGACTTTATTCCATGCTGCTACATAATCAGTATGTGTCATCGTTTTGTATCTGGAGCATGCTCAATGGTGTTCCCTCAGTGCTATCACTGAGAGACCCAGGTCATAGAGTGACTATTGTGGAATGGTAAGATGTTATAGCGTCCCCTGGCAAGAGACGAGGGCTCACATGAAGCATGGAAGTGGCAGTTGGTCTTTACCAGAACTCTTGATGGTGGAAATTGGTCAACACCCAAGTGGTTCCGGTTTATTTTGCTGCAAACTGACAGCAGGTTGTGATCCTCAGGATCGTCCCACCAAGACAAGACGAGAGAATAGACAGGTCCAGGAAGGTATCGAGGCAACTTGAAAGTAAGGAGCGAAGAGCCAGCAACTCATCCTTCAGAAGAATTACTATCAGAACAGGGGCGGACTGACAACTCATGGGGCCCCCGGGCAATAGGGGATCATGGGGCCCCTGTGTCCTCACCCACATCCAAAAAAGCCTATGAAAAAAGGTACCAAGGGCATCTCATGGGGCCCCCGACTGACCCAGGGCCCTCGGGCAGTGCCGAGTTCCCAAATGGTCAGTCCGCCCCTGTATCAGAATTACATAGAGTGTACAGGTAAAACTGGCTTACGTTTCTCAGCAATATGCCTTAACCGTAGCCATAAAAAGGGATCACGGAAGGCAACAAGTGATGGAGAAATCAGGTCCAGGTAGGGTAAAGGCAGATGGAAGGCAATAGAGTAGATAGGTCTAGACAGGGGTTGAGGTAGGCAGCAGTCAGAGAGTACTCAAGTCAAGGCAGGGGACGAGACAGGCGGCAGGTTAGGGAGTACTCAGGTCCAGGCAGGGACTGAGGCAGCCGGCAGGCAAGAGAGTAGAAGGTATAGACAGGGGTCAAGGTAGGCAGCAGACAAGGGAGTAATCAGGCAAGGGTCAAAGCAGGAAACTTATATATACTTTTGATTTGTCTTTGAATCCAGGCATTGATGAAGTCCTATCTGACACAAGCCGGAGGAAAGGGGAGTGTGTAGGCCCCAGAAACGCAATGGCATTCCTTATACTGCTAATTATACAATAAACAATCTTTTTGGACCTTATTAGTACTGGCGTGATGCCCTCACTGCATTCCTCGCCAAAGCAATCAAGATTAAAGTGACACTAACTGATATCCCTATTCCCCACAAATAATCCATACACATCCATTACTTAATGGTCATGTAATCTATTTTTCATGAATTTTTTTTGGAACAAATCCCATAGTCCAGCAAGCGAACAAGCAAGAGAAGGTGGTACATTCCTACATACAGCGGAACCATGAAGAACGAGCGCAGCCACTCTCTAACAGCGAGATGGATCACAGCAACAAAATAAAAGGAATATGGAGATCTGGAGAGAGCAATAGAAGGGATTCTTTAGGGGGGGTCACGAATATATACTTTAGTAGAATTTTTTTAAATCTGAGTTTAGTGTCATTTTAATAGGAAACATGGCCACTCCTAACTTTGCATATTGATCATGGAAAATCTAGTACCTCATTGTAACGGAATCGACCCAGACTACACTTAGGTACTTCCGTTAGAATACCACTTCCCCGTCCGAACACCGAGAACCGACACCACAGAGGACCATACAAGACTAGACGACACCAATCTTGAAGTAATCCAGAAAGTAGACTAGTTTATTTGAACACAAATACAAGATATATACACTCAAGGGAACAATACCCCCTCCCTGCATAATGACACAGGGCGGGGCAATCTACATTTAGTAACAAGAGACATACCAATAGACATCAGAAGGGAGGGCTGCTGGAGACACCCCCCACCAAGCCAATACACATAAACACATACATCCCATAATAGTTTGCTCCCAAGCAAGACACACAATAGAACAATGGGATGCAACCACATGGCATTAAACAATCAACAACCCCCACCCCAATATTAGGACAGATCACCCTGTACCCCTAACAGGCACAGGGTGACTTACACATAATAGGGATATGGGGACAGGGACAGGGGTCTCCTCACCTCTCTAGAGTGAGCTGGGTTCCATGGGCCCTCCACCCAAAGTGACTCATGTACATACATTCTAAAGGAAACTGTTAGGCTGGTTTTGCACCTTTTCTATGATTTGTTTTGTTTGTTTTTGCCTTATTTTGGTGTTTTAGTGCATTCTGAATTACTTTGTTGGGTTCTGTCAGACAATGAAATGTTGACTAACATGGAGGTTGTGGCATTTTCAGCTACCGTGTGCTGAAAATGCATCAAAACGCATGTGTTCGCCTATTCATGTGCCACCATTGTCATCAATAGCCCAGTGTCAATGGCCAATGCACATCAACGCTGGTACTGATGGGACCTAGCACCAAAGTTGTGCAAATGCATTGATACATGTTCCTTTCTTTTCATGCACTGAGAATTTATTTATCTGATTTAAAGTGTTACTAAACCCCCAGCAGTACAATCAGTCTGTATAAGCAGTAAAGTATGCTTGTTATACTCACTGTGGAACCTAAGGGGTTAATCCTCTGCATTATGTAAAAAGGCTGTTTGATCTTTTCTTCTCTGCCCCTCCTCTTGTTGAAACGGCCACCTGATACAGACTGAATCCGTGGTCACATGCACATGCTCAGTTTGGTGTGTATTGCTAGAGAGGTTTTTTTTTTTTCTTGGGTGGGTGCATCTGATCAGCACAGGGCCAATCAGCACGGTCCAAGCAGAGGGTCAGAGGTTTCACATCCTCCTACAGCAGAAAGAAAACTCCTCCTACAAGCTCAGCAGGTGCTCTGCTGAAGTCACCAGACTGCTCTAACTTCTGATGAGAAAAGGTATTTAGCAGTTTATATTTACTAAAATAATTGCATGTCCATGTTCTGTGTACTGTGGGAGACCAGATATAGTGAATGCAGGGTCCGGGGAGAGCGGATATAGTGAATGCAGGGTCTGGGGAGACCAGATATAATGAATGCAGGGTCCGGGGAGAGCGGATATAGTGAATGCGGGGTCCGGGAAGAGCGAATATAGTGAATGCGGGGTCCGGGAAGAGCGGATATAGTGAATGCAGGGTCCTGGGAGACCAGATATAGTGAATGCAGGGTCCGGGGAGACCAGATATAGTGAATGTTGGGTCCAGGGAGAGCGGATATAGTGAATGTTGGGTCCAGGGAGAGCAGATATAGTGAATGCAGGGTCTGGGGAGACTGGACATAGTGAATGCAGGGTCCGGGAGACCAGATATAGTGAATACAGGGTCCAGGGAGAGCAGATATAGTGAATGCAGGGTCCAGGGAGAGCAGATATAATGAATGCAGGGTCCGGGGAGACCGGATATAGTGAATGCGGTGTCCGGGGAGACCAGATATAGTGAATGCAGGGTCTGGAGAGACCAGATATAGTGAATGCAGGGTCTGGAGCAGGGGCAGACTGACCATTTGGAAACTCGGGCACTGCCCAAGGGCCCGGGGTCAGTAGGGGGCCCCATGAGATGCCCCTGGTACCTTTTTCATAGGCTTTTTTGAGTTTGGGCAAGGACACAGGGGCCCCATGATCCCCCATTGCCCGGGGGCCCCATGAGTTGTCAGTCTGCCCCTGGTCCAGAGAGACCAGATATAGTGAATGCAGGGTCCGGGGAGAGCAGATATAGTGAATGCAGGGTCCGGGGAGAGCGGATATAGTGAATGCAGGGTCCGGGGAGAGCAGATATAGTGAATGCAGGGTCCGGGAGACCGGATATAGTAAATGCAGGGTCAGGGGAGAGCGGATATAGTGAATGCAGGGTCCGGGGAGAGCAGATATAGTGAATGCAGGGTCCGGTGAGACCAGATATAGTGAATGCGGGGTCCGGGGAGACCGGATATAGTGAATGCAGGGTCTGGAGAGACCAGATATAGTGAATGCGGGGTCCGGGGAGACTGGATATAGTGAATGCAGGGTCAGGGGAGAGCGGATATAGTGAATGCAGGGTCCGGTGAGACCAGATATAGTGAATGCGGGGTCCGGGGAGAGCAGATATAGTGAATGCGGGGTCCGGGGAGACCAGATATAGTGAATGCAGGGTCCAGGGAGAGCGGATATAGTGAATTCGGGGTCTGGAGAGACCAGATATAGTGAATGCGGGGTCCAGGGAGACCAGATATAGTGAATGCGGGGTCCGGTGAGACCAGATATAATGAATGCAGGGTCCGAGGAGAGCGGATATAGTGAATGTGGGGTCCGGGGAGAGCAGATATAGTGAATGCGGGGTCTGGGGAGACCAGATATTGTGAATGCAGGGTCCGAGGAGAGCGGATATAGTGAATGTGGGGTCCGGGGAGAGCGGATATAGTGAATGCAGGGTCCGAGGAGACCGGATATAGTGAATACAGGGTCCGGGGAGACCAGATATAGTGAATGCAGGGTCCGGGGAGACCAGATATAGTGAATGCAGGGTCCGGGGAGACCAGATATAGTGAATACAGGGTCCGGGGAGACCAGATATAGTGAATGCGGGGTCCGGGGAGACCAGATATAGTGAATGCGGGGTCCGGGTAGACCAGATATAGTGAATGCGGGGTCCGGGGAGACCAGATATAGTGAATGCAGGGTCCGGGGAGACCAGATATAGTGAATGCAGGGTCCGGGGAGACCAGACATAGTGAATACAGGGTCCGGGGAGACCAGATATAGTGAATGCAGGGTCCGGGGAGACCAGATATAGTGAATGCAGGGTCCGGGGAGACCAGATATAGTGAATACAGGGTCCGGGGAGACCAGATATAGTGAATGCAGGGTCCGGGGTTTAGTATCACTTTAAGGCTGAAGTTTAAGTTTGGCAATTTGTACATTGCCCCTCTTGGACCTATGTAATTATGTATGTGCCATACCTGTGGGATCTCCTAGGAAGCTGGAAGTCATTGTAGAAGGCACAAGGGCTGTCGTTAAGGAGAGGCAAAAGGGGCAGCCGCCCTGGGCCCAGTTATTTTTGTGGGGCCCAAAGTATCTGGCCCATACTTGCCAGCTGTCTCGGTTTAAATTTCCTTGTCCCTTAAAGTCTTCATCCCACACTGTGTCCTGATATCTCAGTGTGAAGTGCTGCATGTTAATGCTGCCAGCCTCTGCCCTATTGCCATGTGCAGGGGTGCAGACCATGTCAGCATTCACATGTAAAAACTTCCATTCATATGTGAATAGTGGTGACATTCATATGCAAATAGCAACAGTATTCATATGTAAAATAGTAAGAGTCAATGCGCATTCATATGTACATTATGCGCCCCTGGGGTTTCCAGCCACCATCAGCTCTGCTGAATGCTGCCCACTGGGAGAAAAAACGGTAATGCTTGAAAGTCTTGCCTGGAAATGGGACACTGAGCCTACCGTCAGCCTGTTTTACATAGGTGCGTGTGTGTGTGTAGGGGGGGGGGGGTCTGTGCAGAGCTAGGCAGAAAAGGAATTACAGTTTGGGGTGCACAGGTCAGCAAAGAGGGGATGTACAGAGGTAAGGATGTGGGTGCAAAGATGAGCAAAGAGACTTGTAGAGTTAATTGGGGAATTGGAGTGAAGAAGATGGGGGAGGTTTGGATGCAGAGGTTAGCAGTGTATATTTGGGATGCATTGACAGGTGGATAAAAGATGTATGTTACATGTAGGGCCATTCCTTTCAGTGGGGCTGCTCTATGCATTAGAAATGCAGGTCCCTGACCTTTTTTAAAAAATCAATTTTGGTGCATGCGAAAATGAGCACATCAGTAGATGTGTGAGGGTGTCATTAACAATTAATGGCACTGATGTGTATCTGCTAAAGGGCAGCAAGGTTCATTGGTGGTCACTATGAATGCTCCTGTTACATTACTGGTCAGTGTAAATCCCCTTTACATTGGTGGCCAGTTTAGAAACTGCTCTTTATATTGGTAGTCGAAAAAAAATTCAATTTTCATTTGTGTCAGTGTTAAATCTGCTCTTACATTGGTGGTCCATGTAGAAGGCCCCTTTAATTGGTGGTCAGCTTTCGGTGGGAAGTTCTATACATTGTAAAGATGTGCAACTTTGCAATGAAAAATGACTGCCCCTTTAAAAATTGTACTTTTTTAAACATTTTTTTTCACTGATTTATGTCCCTCAGGCAGTACCCTAGTCCCCATACCACTTTTATGGCCCAAACCTTGCATATAAGCCTTCAAAATGGGCCCATTTGAATGTTTCTCGACCATGAACCGAACCAGGGGGGTGTTCGGCTCATCATTAGTTTGTAGTAACCTCTAGCAATCAATGGGTGAGCGGTAATGATGTGCAATAACCTTCAGCAACCAATCAGTGAGCGTTAATAATGTGCAATAACCTCTAGCAACCAATCAGTGAGTGGCAATAATTGTGCAATAACCTTTAGCAACCAATTAGTGAGCCGGTAATAATGTTCAATAACCTCTAGCAACCAATTAGTGAGTGATAATAATGTGCAATAACCCAACTAGCAACCATTAGTGATTGGTAAGGATGTGCAGTAATCTCTGGCAACTAATCAGTGAGCAGACATGATGTGCTGTAACCTCTAGCAACCTATCAGTGAGTGGTAATGATGTTTTCTAACCTCTGACAAACAATTGCAATTGCTGCCTGGGAATCTGCTGCAGTAAACTGATTTTGAGTCTAGCTGCAATTTATTGTATGTCTCAGAGCAAGTGGAGAATGCAGTTGCATTGGAGGGGCCCAAAAAAATGTTAGCCCAGGGTCCAATCAATATTAAAGACAGCCCTGGAAGGCACCACTACTACAGTGATCTCCACTAGCCTGGAGTCCCATGCTAGCTTTAACCTGAGAGTTCATTTGGCCTGTAATAGGTTCATAATCATGCACCATGACCATTTGTTCCATACCAGACATGTTATTGAAGATCTAGGAAGCTGCAAGTCATTGTTGAAGGCATCACTACTACAGTGATCCCCACTAGCTTCCAGGTCCCATGTCGAGCTTTAAAACCTGAAAGTTCATATACCTTTAATAAGTTCATGATCATGCGCCATGACTAGAGATGAGCGAATCGAAAGTATCCGAAGTGGAATTCGAGTCGAATATCGGAAAAATTTCGATTCGTGCCCGAATCCGAAAAATAGCCTAATTCGGACGCGCGAATCGAAATTTTTCAGAAATGGCGGCTGACATGTGCGGTCGACGGAGCGGGGATGTCTGGGAAGGCGCGCAGACAAGGCGCGCTGACCCATAATGCATTTCCTCAACTACATGTGATCGCATCAGCCAATCAGCAGCCAGCCAGCCAGCACTGTGTAATGTCGAGCTATAAATAGCGGCCATTTTTGGAATTCTTCATTTGCCTGCAGTTATTGAACAGAGGCAGACCGCTCTGTACTAGGGACAGGGACAGAGTTAGGGCCACAGAAACGATAATTGGGGACAGAGAAAAGTTACTTAGGGACAGAGAACCATTACTCAGGGACACAGACTTGTTAATGAGGGCCACAGAATCGTTAATTTAGGGACAAAGAAACGCTAGTTAGGGCCACAGAATTCATAATCAGGGACAGACAGAATTGTTACTCAGTGCCAGAGAATTGTTTACTTAGGGCCACAGAAACGTTATTAGGGCCACAGAATTGTTACTCAGGGACAGACAGAATTGTTACTGAGTGCCAGAGAATTGTTACTCAGGGACAGACAGAATTGTTACTGAGTGCCAGAGAATTGTTACTTAGGGCCACAGAAACTTTAATTAGGCCACAGAATTTTTACTCAGGGACAGACAGAAATTGTTACTGAGTGCCAGAGAATTGTTACTCAGGGACAGACAGAATGTTACTGAGTGCCAGAGAATTGTTACTTAGGGCCACAGAAACTTTACTTAGGGCCACAGAATTTTTACTCAGGGACAGACAGAATTGTTACTGAGTGCCAGAGAATTGTTACTACAGGGACAGACAGAATTGTTACTGAGTGCCAGAGAATTGTTACTTAGGGCCACAGAAACTTTACTTAGGGCCACAGAATTGTTAATCGCACAGACACAGAATTGTTACTCGCACAGACACAGAATTGTTACTGAAGGCCACAGAACTGTTACTTAGGGCCACAGCAGAATTGTTACTCGCACAGACACAGAATTGTTACTCGCACAGACACAGAACTGTTACTGAGGGCCACAGAACTGTTACTGCTTAGGGCCACAGAATTGTTACACGTCTAACAGACACAGAATTGTTACTCAGGGCCACAGAACTGTTACTTAGGGACCAAAGAAACGCTAGTTAGGCCACAGAATTCATACTCAGGGACAAGACAGAGAATTGTTACGGAGTGCCAGAGAATTGTTACTCTGGGCCACAGAAACTTTACTTAGGGCCACAGAATTTTTACTCAGGGACAGACAGAATTGTTACTGAGTGCCAGAGAATTGTTACTCAGGGACAGACAGAATTGTTACGGAGTGCCAGAGAATTGTTACTCAGGCCACAGAAACTTTACTTAGGGCCACAGAATTTTTACTCAGGGACAGACAGAATTGTTACTGATGCCAGAGAATTGTTTACTTAGGGCCACAGAAACTTTAATTAGGTGCCACAGAAATTTTTACTCAGGGACAGACAGAATTGTTACTCTGAGTGCCAGAGAATTGTTACTCAGGACAGACAGAATTGTTACTGAGTGCCAGAGAATTGTTACTTAGGGCCACAGAAACTTTAATTATCGGGCCACAGAATTTTTACTCAGGGACAGACAGAATTGTTATACTGAGATGCCAGAGAATTGTTACTCAGGGACAGACAGAATTGTTACGGAGTGCCAGAGAATTGTTACTCAAGGCCACAGAAACTTTTACTTAGGGCCAAGAGAATTTTTTACTCAGGGACAGACAGAATTGTTACTGAGTGCCAGAGAATTGTTACTCAGGACAGACAGAATTGTTACTGAGTGCCAGATAATTGTTACTCAGGGCCCCAGAAACTTTACTTAGGGCCACAGAATTTTTACTCAGGGACAGACAGAATTGTTACTGAGTGCAGAGAATTGTTACTCAGGGACAGACAGAATTGTTTTAACGGAGTGCCAGAGAATTGTTTACTCAGGGCCACAGAAACTTTACTTAGGCCAGATTAATTTTTACTCAGGGACAGACAGAATTGTTACTGAGTGCCAGAGAAATTGTTACTCAGGGACAGACAGAATTGTTACTGAGTGCCAGATAATTGTACTACTCAGGCCCCAGAAACTTTACTAGGGCCACAGAATTTTTACTCAGGGACAGACAGAATTGTTACTGAGTGCCAGAGAATTGTTACTCAGGACAGACAGAATTGTTACTGAGTGCCAGAGAAATTGTTACTTAGGGCCACAGAAACTTTACTTAGGGCCACAGAATTGTTACTCGCACAGACACAGAATTGTTACTCATCGCACAGAACACAGAATTGTTACTGAGGGCCACAGAACTGATTACTTGGGTGCCACAGAAACGTTAACCAGGGACACAGAATTGTTACTGAGGGCCACATGAACTGTTACTTAGGGCCACAGAATTGTTACTCGCACAGACACAGAATTGTTACTCAGGGACACAGAATTGTTACTCAGGGACACATAATCGTTTAAATTAAAGAGTATGTCAACAACATGCAGAGGAGTGGCAAGAGGAGGCAAGTGTATTTAGGAGCGAGCAGACGTGGCAGCAGAGGAAGGGGTCGAGGCAGCACTATTCGCAGCCAGAGGCCAGTGCACCCGGTGTCATCCAGCGGTCGTGTCTCCACCGACAACCCTGCCGTCGTCGATTGGTTGGCTCGGTCGTCTTCCACTTCCCAGGTCACCTCTGACACCTACAGCCAACGGTCGGTGGGTACGTCAGACACAACCGTTAGTTGGCATGGCCCGGGACCAAGCCCACTGAAATCACGTGTCCTCTACCTGCCCCTGTCCTTTTGGTGTTCCCTCACCAAGCGAAGTATCGTATGCTGTGGGCTCAGCCCCCACTGTACAGTGAGGAAGAGCTAACAGAGGACGTCAGAACGGGGGAGACATCCGCCTTTTCAGCAGCCAGCGAAGAAGTAGTGGCGAGGAAGTGGCTCGTAGTAGCCGGTCTAGAGACAGGTCACCCCTGTCTCCTGACCCAGACGCAATGCCGGCGGGGGCTAGTAGTGAGGTGCGGAGACCCTACTTGATGATGAGAGAGGTTGATCGCACTTGGCAGCCTCGTCGTCATCGTGCAATTTCTTCCCATCATCAGTGAGAAGTAGGTGGCAGCTTGGCAGCAAGCAAAAACATCGGTGGGTTGCCCAGGGAGACAGCAGCAGGGTCGCAGCAGCCAGTCCAGTGGAGCCAAAACGGACACCCCACGGAGTAGAGCACCAGCTCCACTGCAGCCTACCACCACGGCCAGTAGTGGTGCCGGTGTGCACGGAGGAAGCAGCAGTCAGCCAGTGAGGAGTATCGGGGGCAAAGTTTCCTACTCGGCGGTGTGGCAATTTTTCGTCAAGCCGCCCGATGGAAGTAAACGTAGCCGTATGTCGACTATATGTGGACCAGAAAGTCAAGCGAGGCCAGGGGGCCCATGTTGGGACTACAGCGTTGCGGCAGCATATGCAGCGTCGCCATTTGGTGGCCTGGGAAAACCGTGATAAAGATACGGCGGTTCTTGCCCGCCCCAGCCCCCGCCCATCACCCGCTCCGTTACTTGCTCCGTCACCCGACGTCAAATCGCCCTCCATCAATCCAGTCAAGGCTCCAACAACCTCTGCTGAGGAGTTGTCGCTCGTCTGGCATCTTCCGCTCGTTCAGATGCTCCTTCCGCTGCTCCTGCTACTCCTCTTCACGGATTCCGTCAGCAGTCTTTCTTGGAATCCGTTTCCAAGAGACAACAGTTTGCGAGCACGCACCCGACGGTGCAAAAGCTGAACCGACCTCCTGTCCAAGTTGCTGGTGCTGCAGTCCCTCCCTTTCCAAGTGGTGGACTCAGCACCTTTCAGAGAAATGATGGCTTGTGCCGCGCCACGGTGGAGAGTGCCAAGCCGTCATTTCTTCGCCAAAAAGGCAGTGCCAGCCCTGCATTCACATGTAGAAGACCATGTGGGCCAGTCTACACTTGAGCATGTCGGTTTCCACTCTCTGCCAAAGTGCACGGCAGCGCCGACGTGTGGAGCTGTAACTATGGTCAGGACAGTACATTGTCATTTACGGCCCACTGGGTGAACGTGGTGCCGGAGTCACAGCCGCACCAGCAACTTGGACAGGTCACGCCGCTTTTGCCTCCACGTTTGCACGTCCTTGGTCCGGCAAAGATGTCCGCCTCTACCACCTCTTCTTCCGCCGTGTCCTCATCCGCCGCCCCCCCCCGTTGCCAAGATCCAAACCATTACCCCGACGCCGGCCATATCCACATGTGTAGGGCGCAAAACGGTGTCACGCTGTTCTGCACCTGTATGCCTTGGCGAACGTAGTCACACAGGGGAGGAACTTCTGAGTGTAATGAACAAGAAATCGACAGATGGCTGTCTCCGCGCAAACTGAAAATCGGAACCATGTTGACCGACAACGGAAAGAACATGGTGTCAGCTCTGCTCCGTCAAGGAAGGTTGTGCCATGCGCCATGCATGGCTCACGTGTTTTCAATCTGTTGTCAAGCGGTTCTTAAAATCCACCATCCCACTGCAAGACATCCTTAAAATGTCACTAAACTTTGCATGCATTTCAGCCATTCCTACATCGCAAAGCACACCCTCCCTTGAGCTGCAGCGGCAGAACGGAATTCCACAGCATCGCCTGATCTGCGACGTTGCAACAAGGTGGAATTCAACCCTACACATGTTAGACCGCCTTTATTACGAACAGCGAAAGGCCATCACCGATTTCCTGATGTTACAAGCGGATAAAGGTACTCCCCTGTGTAACTTCGATGTCTGAGCCCTTGGCAGCTCATGCGTGACACCCTGCCAGCTTGCTCAGGGCCCTTTGAGGAGGCCACGCTATCGTGAGTCGGCAGGACTATGGGATGAACGACGTCATTCCCTCTGTTGCACTCCTTGAACAAATGCTGTTTAACAATAGCTGGTCAGGGTGCGGTAACGTGGCGCACAGATCTCAACGCCACAAGACCCCTGTGGGGGCAGGACAGGAAGAAAGAGAGAGGAGAGGTAGAGGCGAGAGCGCTCGTTTGTCTGCTCGAGACTTATTGAGTGAAATGGGTGGTTTTTCCACTCAGCGGACAGGGAGTGGCTAGGATCACGGAGCATCTGGTAGAGAGATGAAGGAGGAGAGATACAGAGGACACAGACGCACCCGGAGGCAGTAGGCTGTGGAGATGGAGGCAGGGAGTCCCTCGCATCTTCTCCATGGCACAAATGAGCCATTATCATGCTTCGGATCTTTGCTTGCGTAGCGTCACAGCCGAATAATAACCATCAGACAGAGGGATGACTTTTGGTGTCCACCTTGTTGGACCCCTCGCAAACCGAGGTTCCAAAATGGTGGCCTTTTCACACTGCTGAGAGGGAGGCCAAAATAACGTACAATAAAAACACCTATGTCTAGTCAGTTGTCTCATGAGTGCGCGAGATTGTGTCTACTCTCTCTCTGTCCATACCTCAGACACTGTGGGCCCAGCTGCGCTCGCGTTCGCTGGCCATGGGAGCAGGGGGGGGGGTTTGGGGGGGGGAGGAGCCATGGGGGAAACTTTCCCCCAGCCGCGCTGCCCCCAGTCTGCAGTTTGATGATAGTAGCTTTCCTTTACCGCGGCCCGTGAGGAAAAATACTAACCCCCCGCACAGCAGCGCAGCACAGGGGGACCGGGGGCAGGACCCCAAAAAACAGGGTTGGGCCTACTTGACACACCCCGCCCCAAACCAGGTAACAATCCCCTTGACTACTGGGCAAAAGAAAAAATTTACCTTTGCCCCAACTAGCTGAATTTTTGGGCCCCCTTTTAAAAAGGCTGTTCCGAATTTAAAGGGCCCGGGGGCCAAAAAATTTAGCCCCCTTTTTGGGCATCGGGAAAACCGAGGGTTTTTTAGGGGGCGCAAAAAAGGAAAGGGAAAATTTTTAACCCCGCCGGCCGCCCAGGGGCAAAAGAATTTTGTCCAAACCCCAAAATTTTGAGGGAAAAATTTTTTCCCGGGGGCGAAGAAAGTCCAAAATTTTTTAATCAGGGCGGGAATTTTTTGGGGCCGGAAATTTTCCCAAAAAAAACCCAGTTTTTCCGGGGCAAACGAATTTTTAAATCCGATGAATTATCCCCAAAACAATTTTTGGGGCCAAAAATTTTCCGGTCCCAAAACACTTTTGGGAGGAAATTTTTTGACAATAAAAGTTACCGGGCCCGAAAATGGGGGCCTCCTAATTTAACTGGTGCCAGAAAATTTTTCCAAGCCCCAAAAAAATAAACCGTTTTTTTCAGGGGGGAATTTTTTCCCCGGGGCCAGAGTTTTCTCATGGGTTCGGGGCCTAGTAACCGGCCCTTCTTGGGCCCAAAAAATTTCTGGGGCTAGTTTTTACCAAAAACGGCCAAACGAAATTCCAAAAAGTTTGGGCCCCAAAATTTCAGGGCCCTTTTCCAGGGAGGTGTTTTGGGGAAAATTTTTTGGGAAAAGGGTTCAGGCCCAAAAATTTTTCTTGGGGCCCCATAACTTTTTTGGGGCCCAGGTTTCCCCCAAATTTTGCCAAAGCCCCCTTTTTACCCCCCTCCCAGCTGCTTTGGGGGGCCCGAAAATTTCCAAAGGGCCCTTTTTACGGGGCCCCAAATTTTTTTTTTATGGCCCAAATTTTTCTGGCCCTTTTTCCATTCCGGCCACATTGCCATTTCCAAAAACCCGGCAAACCCAAAAAAAAGGGTTTTGGTGTTTAATTTTTAAAATAGGGCCGGGAATTAACGGGCCCTCCCCATAGCTTGCCCCGCCAAGGCCCCTAATTCTGTTTTCCCTAATTTCCCCCCTAAATAACCCCCGCCCCCCTAAATTTCTGGCCCCAAGCCCCCAAAATTTCCAAATTTTCCCCGTCCTTTTTGGGTTTTCCCCCCAACCCGCCTTCCCCTTGCGTGGGCCCCCCCCCCTTCGGGGGCCAACCAAAAACACCCCCCCCTGCCAAAAAAGGGGCCACTTTCCAGGTTCTCCCCCACCCCGCCGCCCCAGGGGGGTGTAGGGGGAATTTTTTGAAATTTTTAAAGTTGGGAGGTTTTACGGCAATTTTCCCATAAAAATTGGGGGGGGTTGGTTTCCCAGGGCACCTAACATCTTGGGGCCAAAAGGGGCCCCGGGGTAAACCGCCCCTGCGCCCCCAAGGCCAAGGTTCCTTCCAAAAAAGGTCACCTGGGGACGGGGGTTTTCCCCCTTGCCTTGGGTTTTTCCAACCCCCAAAAAACCTTTTTCCAAAGTGGGCCAAAAACCCGGTCCCCCTTTACACACTTTCGGGGTAGAATTTTTTTGGGAAAACCAAAAAAAGGGGGTTTTGGGGCCCCCCAATTTATTTGGGGTCCCGTAAGCTCTCCGCCCCCAAACAGCCATAAAAACCCCCCCCATAATTTTCCCGGGCCTTCCCCCCCAAAGCTTTTTCCCCCCAGGTTCCCCGAGTTTTTTGTTTCCCCCTGTTTGGGGGCCCCCCCGGGGAAAACGGCCTCCCCCAATTGCCTTTCGTTCCCTTTTCCAATTTTTCCACACCCTCTTTGGGGCCAAAAAGTTTTGGGGGGCCACCCTTTTCAGGGGGTCTTTCTTTTCTCTCCAAACAACCGGCCAGGGGTGTGGGGGAAAAAAAATTTTTTGGCCCCCTTAAGGGGTGCCTGGCCCCCGGAAGGGACCCCCGGGCCCCCCAGGACCCCCCTTGGCCCAAAAAGGCCCCCTAAAGCCTGCCCTAGGACCCCCCCCCAATATAAAACCGGCCCTTTCCCTTTATGCTGCCCAGCCCAAGGTTCCCCCAAGGGGGGTTTTTGTAAAGGGTCCCCTTTTCCCCGGGCCCTTCCCCATTTGGCCCTTCTCCTCGGCCAAATTCCGGCCATGTGGCCCCAACTTTTCAAGGTTTTTTCCCACCCCCCACTGGCCCCTTTTGTGAAAATTTTTTTTGAAAAATAAAAAAGGGTTTTGGGGGAAACGGTTTCCCATGCCCGCTGGCCAAAAAAAGGGCCCCCCCCCCCCCCTTTTAACGCCAAAAACCCCCATTTTTTTACAACCCAAAAACCCCCCTTCCTTTTATTGCCTTGGGTCCAGGTCCCGATCCCCGTCATTGGGGGGGGGTCCCCTGGGGGGAAATATTCCCGGGCCTTCCCTTGCTTTCTGTTCTCCATCTAGCCCACAACTCCGCCCAAATTGGGGGGGCCAAAAAAAAATTTTTCAAAAAAGGTTTTTTCCCCACACAATGGGGGGAGTGGGGAAGGGGGAAATTTTTTTCAAAGGGGCCCGGGGAGATTTGGGAGGGGTCCCCCCATACCTTTTGGGCCAAAAGGCCCCCTAATCTTCCATGGTCCCCTAAAAAACCCGGGGGGGCCTTTCCCCCACCCCCTTGCCAAAGGGGTTTTTTTTTTCCCCCCAAAAGGTGTCTTCCCCCTTGCCCTTGGGGCCCCTTTTCCCCCGGGCCCCTCAAAACTTTTCCCCTGGTGGGTTTATGGGGGGAATTTTTTGGGAACCCCAAAGGGTGTTTGGGAGGGTTATGGGCCTTCCCCAACGCAAGGCCCGCCAGGCCCCCAAATTCCCCGGGCCCCATTTTGGGGCCCCTTAAAAAAAACCGGGGTTCCCCACGGGAAGAAAGTTTTCCCCCCGGTTTTCCCGGAAAGGAAGCCCGGCCCGACTCCAGGGAGTCCTTTTTCCCAGGGGTCCCCAAAATTGGGGCTCCCGGGGTTTGCTTTGGTTCCCCCACCGCAAACCCAAATCTGCCCCATGTGCCACTTTAGGGCTCCTCACACACTGCTGGTGGGGTTGAATTTTTTGACATAGGGTGCTGGCAGATTATGGGCCCCCATACCCGCTGCCAGGGGGCCCAATCTCCATAGGCCCCCCATATAAACCCCTTTCCCCATGCTGCTGCCCAGGCCCGGGCACTTTAAGGGGCCCTGTACTCCTCCCCCTTGCTGCGTCTTTCCCTTTTGCCACCCCTCTGCCATGGACCCCCCCCCTTCAGGTTCCCCACCCACTGGGTGGGGTTTTTAATTTTTGACATAGGGGCGGCAATTCGGGGCCTTTCCCCAAAGGCTGCCCGCCCCAATCTGCCAAAGGCCCCAAAATAAACCCGGGCCCCTCATGCGCTGCCAGGTCCAAGTCTGTCATTTGGGCCCCCGTACGGCCTCCCATTGCTCGGCTCCATCGCCCACATTCCTGCCTTTCCCCTTCCCGGTCTCCTCCACCGCGGTGTTAAATTTTTTTTACATAGGGGGTTTGGGAGTTAAAAGGGGCCCCCCATTGCGCTGGGGCCCGGCCCCCAATCTTTCCATGGGGCCCCCAAAACCCCCCCTCCTCATGTGCTGCCCCGGTTTCCCGAGTCCCTTTATTTGGGGGCCCTTTCGGGCCCCCATTGCTGCTGTCTCCACGCCCCACCCCCCTGCCATGTGCCAAAATTTTCATTCCCCCTCCAAAACACTGCTGGTTGGGAGAATTTTTTTTACCCAAAGGTTTGGCCCGATTAGGGCCCCCCCCATTGCTGCTGCCAGGGCCCCTAACTGCCATGGGCCCCTATATACCCGCCTCCCTCTATGCTGCTGCAGGTCCAACATGTCTCATGCCATGTGCCACTTTCAGTCTCCTCACACTGCTGTGTGTTGAATTTTTTGAACATAGGTAGCTGGCAGATCAATGGCTTCGCCTATAGCTGCGTGCCCCATGCCCACAAGCTGCCTTAGGCCCCAATATACCGCTTCTCATGCTTCAGGCCAGGTCCAAGTCTCTCATGGTCCCATACCCTCCCAATTGCACAGCTTCTCCAGCGCCCACACTCCCCCCCTCCTGCCCCCGCAACTCCCCCAGTCTCCCCCTCACAAACACTGCTGTGTGTAAAATTTTTGACGATAGGGTATTGGCAGATTACGGGCCTCCCATTGCTGCTGCCAGCCCCTTAATCTGCCCATGGTGGGCCCCTAATTACCGCCTCCTCATGCTGCTGCCAAGGTCCAAGTCTGTCATTTGGGGGCCCCGTACGGCCCCCCCTTGGGTGCTGTCTCCCCCCCGCCACACCCCCTGGGTTTGCCACTTTTCCCGGTCCCTCACACACCGCTGGGGGTTAAAAATTTTTTGACAAAGGGGTTTTTGGCAATTACGGGCCCCCCCAAAGTGCAGATCCCCCAGGCCCCCAATTCCCGCCAGGGCCCCTATATAAACCCCCTTTCCCCTGGTGCTGGGAGTTTCCCGATCCCGTCAGGGGCCCTGTAAAGTCCTCCCCTTGTTTTTTTTCTCCATCGCCACACTCTGCCATGTGCCACTTTCAGGTCCCCCTCACCCCACACTGGTTTTTTAAATTTTTTTTGACAGAAAAGGGTTGTTGGGCCCAAATTAAGGGCCTTTCCCAATTGGGCCCCGTTTCCTTTTCCCTTAAAGGCCCCCCCTTTTAATTTTTTTGCCAAAAGGGGGCCCCCAATTCCAGGCCCCCCAACCCGGGCCCCCAAAAAACCTCATTCCCCCTGGGGGGCCAGGTCCAGGAGTCTGCATGTCCCCCTGTACGGCCTCCCATTGCTGCTGTCTTCCATCGCCACACTCTGCCATATGCACTTTCAGGTCTCCTCACAACACTGCTGGTGTGAATAAATTTTTTGACATAGGGTTTGGCAGATTTACGGCCGTCCCATTGCTTGCTCGCCAGGCCCCTAATCTGCCATAGGCCCCTATATACCGCCTCCCTCATCGCTGCTCGCAGTTCCAGAGTCTGTCATGGGTCCCCTGTACGGCCTCCCATTGCTGCTCCCCCCCATCCGCCCAACACTCTGCCTTGTCCCCCCCCCCACTGCTTCTTCCGGTCACCTCACACACTGCTGGGTGTTAGAATTTTTTTGACGATAGTGTCTGGCAGATTATGGGCCTCCCATAGCTGCTGCCATGCCCCTAATCTGGCTCCGAGCTGCGCGTGCTCCCTATATACCGCCATCCTCATGCTGCTGCCGAGGTCCAAGTCTGTCATGGGTCCCTTACGCCTCCCATTGCTGCTGTCTCCATACTCACCCCTCGCCATGTTTCCACTTTCAGGGCTCCTCCCCACTGCTGGGGTGTAAATTTTTTTAAAATAGGGTTTTTGGGAGATTTAAAGGGCCTCCCATTTCGCTGCCCCGGCCCCTAATCGCCCTGGGCCCCCTTTTACCCCCCTCCCTGCCCGCTGCCAATTCCCCAAAATTGTCATGGGGGCCCCCGTACGCCCGGGGCCCCAATTTCTGCTGTTCCATGCCACAAATCTCCCTGTCCACTTTTGGGCCCCCCCACACACGGTGTGTTGAAATTTTTTTACATAGGGGGTTTGGGAATTAGGCCTCCCATTGCTGCTGCCCCGGCCCCCAATCCGCCATGGGGGCCCCTTTTACCAACCCCCCCGCCGCCATCCCCCGCCGCCTTTCCCCAGGTTTCCAGGGGGGTTTTTTTTCATGGGTCCCTTTGGGTTTTTCGTCCTTCCCCCAATTTTGGCCCTTGCTTTCTCCCCCTCCGGCCCCCCCCACCCCCCTCTCCCGCCCCTGCCCACCCCCTTTCCCCGAGGGCTCCTACACACGCTGGGGTGTAGAATTTTTTTACCCTAGGGTGTTGGCAGATTACGGGGCCCCCCATTGCTGCTGCCAGGCCCAAAACGCCCCTGGGGCCCCCAAAAACCGGGCCCCCTCAGCTGCTGCCAGGGCCAGAGCCCGTCCCTGGGGCCCTTAAAGGGCCCCCCATTGCTGCTTCTCCATCGCCACACTCGCCCTTTGCCACTTTCAGGTCCCCCCACACACGCTGGGGGTTTAAAAAAATTTTTACATAGGGTTTTTGGCAAATTTTGGGGCCCCCCCTTGCTGCTGGCCCGGCCCCAAAACTGCCATGGCCCCCATATCCCGCCTCCTCAAAGCGCTGCCAGGTCCAGATTTGGGCTGGGTTCCCCCGTACGGCCCCCCAAATTTCTGCTGTCTCCATCCCCCCCACCTGCCCTTTGCCCCCTTTCAGGTCTCCTCCCCACTGCTTTGGGGTGTAGAATTTTTTACATAGGGGTTGGCAGATTACCGGGGCCCCCCCATTGCTGCTGCCAGGGCCCCCAATCTCCATGGGGCCCCCATAACCCCCCCTCCTCATGCTGCTGCCAAATCCCCCGAGGTTTTCATGGGGCCCTGTACCCTCCCATTGCTTCTTTTCTCCATCCCCCCCACTCCCGCCATTGGGCCACTTTCGGGCTCCCCACAACTGCTGGTGTGGTTTTTTAAAAGGGGGGGAGAAAAAGGGTCCAAGCGGTGGGGAGTCCCTTTGGGAGGGTTTTAAAACCCCGGGGCCCCCCCATTGGCCAGCCAGGCCCAAATCTTTCCCTGGGCCCCCCCCACCGGCCCCCCGTCCTCCCTGCGGACGATTGCCAAGTGGAATTCCCCAAAACCCTCTTTTAGAATTTTTTCTAGGGCGGGGAAAGGGCCCCCTACCGGAGCCCCCAATTAAAAGGCCCAAAAAACCGGTCCCCCTGTGTAACCCAGATGGCAGGCCCTTGCGGCCCCCCCAATTTCGTGCCCCCCCAACCTTGCCAGGCCCTTTAGGGCCCCAAAACCCCTTGGGGGAAAAATTTTTTCAAAATTGGGCAAACGCGTTCCCTTCCCTCGTTGGCCCAAAAGCCTGGCCCCAAAAAGCCCCCGTTAACCCTGGTGGTCCCGGGGGCCGTAACGGTTTTGGGGCCCAACAATCCCCCCAGGGCCCCATACCCCCTGTGGGGGTTAAACGGGAAAAGGGGGGATTTGGGGAAGGGAGGCCCAAATTTAGTGCCCAAAAATTATTTGGGGAAAATTTTAAAGGGTTTTGGGGTTTTTTCCCAAACCCCCGATTCCCGGATTTGGAGGAAGCGGGGAGAATTTTTTGTAAGGGGGAGGAAAGGGAGGGAGAACAGAGGGCCCATAAAAGCCCCCCGTGGCCCTTAGGCTTGGGTTTTTAGGAAGGTCCCTTTTGCTTTCCTTGGCCCCAACCCCAAATTTGGCCCCAACATGCTTGGGTTTGTTTTTTCGGTTCCGAAACCCCCAATTAACCCCAAACGCCCAAAGGGAAAACCCCCCTTTTGGGGTGGGCCAACCCCTTTGGCCCGTCGGCCCCCAAACTTTTTCCCCTTCCCCCAAAAATTTTGGGGGCCTTTTTTCACACCTTTGTTTTACAAGGGGGAAGGGCCCCAAAATAACGACCCCCATAAAAAAACCCCCCCTTTTGGGGGATTCCCAGGGCCCCCCCCCCCTTTTCCTTCCCTGTCCTCCCGCCAACCTTCCATTCCCTTTTAGGACACTGTGGGGGGCCCCCGGTTTCGGGAATTTTCCCCTTCCCCTGCCAGGCCAAAGCCCGGGAAAAATTTTGGGGAGGCCGGGGAATTCAAAAATCCCCCCAAAAAACAGCGGGCCTGCCTATTTGCAAAAATTCCCAAAATTATGAAGTTAGCCTTTCCTTTCACCCAAGGCCCCCAGTGAGTAAACTAAAAAACCACCCGTTTTGCAGGGCAAAACAAAAAGGGGAGGGGGGAAAGGGCCAATTTAAGGAAGACCCCTTGGGGAGGCAGGAACGGGGGGAAAAACAGGGCCTTTTAAAGGGCCCTACTAGGACCACCGCGAGGAAAACGCCCGGGCGATGCGTAGGGGGGCAATTTCCCCTTGGACTTTACCCCCCCGGGGTTCCCCAAAAGAAACTTTTGACCCTTTTTGCCCCAAAACCTTTTAAGCTGGGGAAAAAATTTCCCCTTGAAAGGGGGGTGGGCTGCGAAGGCATTTGGCCCCGGTTAGGGGGCTTTGGTTTAAAAATGCCGGCCCCCCAAAAGGAGGTATTTTGGGGGGAAAAAAAACCCGCCCCGGAGAGGACACGAACGGTTCCAACAACCCCAAAAGGATTGGGAAGAGAAACCCCCCCCGGGAAAAAGTTTTAGTGAAATTTAAATTTTAAGGGGGGTGGATTTTTGTCCCTTTTTATAGAGGCCAAACCCCCCCAAAAAATCCTTTTTAACACAAACTGGGCAAAATTTCCCCAAGAAAAACCCCAAACCCCAAACTTGTGCCACTTTCAGGTCTCCCACACTGGCCCGGTGTGTTCCATTTTTGTCAAGGGTTCTGGGAATTACGGGCCTCCCCCAAAAGCGCTGCCCCCCCTAATCCCATGGCCCCAAAACCCCAAACCTCCCCTGCTGCTGCCAGGCCAGAGTCTCTCATGGGGGCCCCCTGTACGGGCCTCCCCTTGCTGGGGGTCTCCATCGCCAACCCCCTCGCCAAGGGGCCCCCTTTTTAGGGGCTCCCCCAAAACCCGCTGGTGGGGTTTCCCTTTTTTTTTCAAAGGGGGCTTTCCAATTAACGGGGCCCCCATACTGCTGCCAGGCCCCCCAATCCCGCCCTGGGGCCCCTGTTGTCGCTTGTTGGCAAATTTTTGCCCCGTTTTAAAGCTCCTTTTCCCTACTTTTCCCCTTCCCCCGGATTCCGTCAGCAGTCTTTCCTTGGGAAACCCCTTTCCCAAAAGAAAACATTTTTTCGAGCACGCACCAACGGGGCAGAAAACATGAACGTCTCCCTGTCCAAGTGAGTTTGCTGCCTGCGCCAGCTCGTAAGTCCTGTCATGCGCCCCTGAGCCACCGGCCTCCTCATGCTGCTGCCTCAGGTTCCAAGTGTGTCCAATGGCCCCCGCGTACCGAATCCAAATGCTCTGCCGCAGCCCTAATCATGTCATGGGCCCCTTACCACCTACCCCACCCCGCCATCCCCATGCTGCTGCCGATCCTGATTGAGTGTCATTGGGTCCCTGTACGGCCTCCCATTAGCTGCTGCCAGTAACCGTATCCCAGCCATGGGCCCCCTGAACCGACTCCTCATGCTGCAGCCAGGCAGCGTAATCTGCCATGGGCCCCGGTACCAGCCTCCCTCTGCTGCTTTGCCAGGTCCAGAGTGTGTCATGGGTCCCCTGTACGGCCTCCCAATTGCGATGCTGTCTCTATCGCCACACTCTGCCATGTGCCACTTTCAGGTCTCCTCACACTGCTGGTGGTTCCATTTTTGTCATAATAGGGTGCTGTATGGCCTCCCATTGCTGCTGTAACCTCCACCGCCACACTGTGGCTCCACACTCTGGTTTTGGCCCCGTGACTGCCCAAAATGAGTGAAGTGTGCGTGTTGATTCTAAGATCGACGGCACTCATCTGCATGTCATACTGCCTGACCATATTATTTTCTCTTCCCCCAGCAGACTCCAAGGGGCATTTAAATTAAAGGTACAGTGTTCAGCACTAATATTAAGTCTCTCTGAAGCCTAGAAACACCCTTTTTTAAGTTAAATTCACAGCGAATATATTCGACTCGAATCGAAATTTTTCTAACGAATTTCGCCGAATCAGTCTAATCGAATTTTTGAATACTTCGCTCATCTCTAGCCATGACCATTTGTCCTATACCGGACATGTTATTGAAGATCTAGGTAGCTGCAAGTCATTGTTGAAGGCACCACTACTACAGTGATCCCCACTAGCCTGAAGGTCACATGCCGAGCTTTAACCTGAGAGTTCCTTTGGCCTTTAATAGGTTTATGATCATGCGCCATGACCATTTGTCGCATACCAGACATGTTATTGAAGATTTAGGAAGCTGCAAGTCATTGTTGAAGGCACCACTACTACAGTGATCCCCACTAGCTTCCCTGCCCCATGCCGTGCTTTAACCAGAAAGTTAATTTGGCCTTTAACAGGTTAATGATCATGCACCATGACCATTTGTCTCATACTAGACATGTTATTGAAGATCTAGGAGCAGTGAAGGATGATGGGACATGTTAAGGAGCTTTAAAACCTTGTAGCCTGCCATTGGACTCACTCAGTTCCAGCAGTACTTCGTCTTTACACCTTCATGAGGTCTTAGCTGGGCTTACCAGATAAAACGCATCTGATTGAAAGGCTTAATAGTGTTGGAACAGCAAGGCAAGAGTGCTTTGGCATGAAACATTTTCCGGTATGTCATCGGGAGTCTCCTGCTCTCTACATCTTTTCTTATCTTCATAGATTTTGACGTGGCAAACTACTTAATTTCCACCTACGTTTCCCTCAGGAGCTTTGGCAGATGAAAAGAATAGATTAAGATAAATTGCTTTGGGATATGTGTTCCTCTGTGGGTTTGATAAATTGTCTACTTTGTGCAAAGTTCAGCAGAATATTGTAAGCCTAAAAAGGCACACGTTTTCTCATTTTTAGGTATATCACGGAAATTCTGTCTAAGATAATCAGCTTTTGATATAACGCTTTTTTTAAGATATTGCTGAAAAACTAGAAATATTGTTGAAGCTTCCTTTTTGATGATAAATAAATACTATAATTCATCTTAATGCAAGCTGATAAGCATTCACTGAGACCAGAGTGATAGGCCAAAGGGATTATGCTCATCAATATCCTTTTAATGCCAAATGATGGGTGCTTATCAACCTATCAATGCCACAGTGAAATGCTAAAGGAGGAAGGGTGGCACCATGATAAGTTGCTAGATGGCTGCCCATCAACATCTTGGTGTACTTCTGAGTATCAGATACCACAGGAGACTGCTGGAGTATGCCACAATTAAGAGTGCAAAATCTGGTCCGGTTCTGCATGGTAACCAGTCAACTACTAAATTGAGCTTTGAGAAGAAAAAACCTGGAAGCTGATTGAGTGCAATTGAGGAATGGACACCACTCAGACCAGTCCCTGGAATCTGTTGTGTAGGATGGCCTCAGTTGCCCATTCTGGCCATGCCCTCTAATGCTTTTGGCCCCTCCCACTGAGGATTGATCACAGAGGTGCCTTTGTGATCAAGCCCCAGTGGGTGGGGCGAAAAGCGGTAGAGGGCATGACTAGAGCGGGCGGCTGAGGCCATCCTACACACCAGACTCCAGGTAAATCAACACCCCATTTAGATCAGTGTTGGGCTGTCAGGCTGGACCTGCAGTGGCCGTCTCGCAGGGGTGTGCATAGGATCCGGTAGGTTGGAGGTGGCCTGCCTGCCCCATCCTTGTGGACACTCCCTGGGTATGTGTTGGGAATGGGGAGCACAGACTGGAGGAATCCTTACAGACCAGCTGATTATCAGCCTGTGGACGGTGAGCTGAGCAGGTAGGTGGGGTAGAGATAATCTGTCAGAGCCTCAATGATTGCTCTCCCCTCTGATGATGAATGTAGTGCTGTGTGTATATATACATCAGTATCTCTGTCTTGGGGGGGGCGCACAATTTAGTGTTGCCTAGGGCAGCACAAAACCAAAATATACCACTGCCAGTAATGCAGATTTTTTTTTTCACTGATCTAAATGGGGTGTTGATTTACTGATATTTACTCACATGGCATTTTAGTAGCATTTTTTGGTATCCAGTTGCGCTTAAGAAAAAAAACACGACACCAAGCAAAAAGAAAAAAATATAAAATCATAATATCTGTATGGACAATGAGGAATTCCCCACCATAGGTTCGGATTTATTTGCTCAGGGAGCTCTGGGGAAAGAGTTCTCTGTGACATCACTGCCCATATTTGAACTAGAAGTCCCCACCATAGGTTCGGTTTTATTTGCTCAGAGAGCTCTGGGGAAGGAGTTGCCTGTGACATCACTGCCCACCTTTGAACTAGAAGTCCCCACCATAGGTTTGGTTTTATTTGCTCAGAGAGCTCTGAGGAATGAGTTCCCTGTGACATCACTGCCCATATTTGAACTAGAAGTCCCCACCATAGGTTCGGTTTTATTTCCTCAGAGAGCTGTGGGTAAGGAGTTCTCTGTGACATCACTGCCCATATTTGAACTAGAAGTCCCCACCATAGGTTTGGTTTTATTTGCTCAGAGAGCTCTGGGGAAGGAGTTGCCTGTGACATCACTGCCCATATTTGAACTAGAAGTCCCACCATAGGTTCGTATTTAATTGCTCAGGGAGCTGTGATTAAGGAGTTCCCTGTGACATCACTGCCCATATTTGAACTAGAAGTCCCCACCATAGGTTCGGTTTTATTTGCTCAGAGAGCTCTGGGGAAGGAGTTCCCTGTGACATCACTGCCCACATTTGAACTAGAAGTCCCCACCATAGGTTCGGTTTTATTTCCTCAGAGAGCTCTGGGGAAGGAGTTGCCTGTGACATCACTGCCCATATTTGAACTAGAAGTCCCCACCATAGGTTCGGTTTTATTTCCTCAGAGAGCTCTGGGTAAGGAGTTCCCTGTGACATAACTGCCCACATTTGAACTAGAAGTCCCCACCATAGGTTTGTATTTAATTGCTCAGGGAGCTGTGGGTAAGGAGTTCCCTGTGACATAACTGCCCACATTTGAACTAAAACTATGTATGCATGTGTACCCTAACTGCTTTTTTATTTTAAAAATAGGTAGGTCATTTATTTTATTTTTTTTATTTAAGGAAACTAGAGTTGGGCCTTAAGGAATACCTATGAACCCAGAAGATCCCTGCCAGGGTTCCAACTGCAAATGGCCACAACCAGGGGTGGACTGACAACTCATGGGGCCCCTGAACAACAGGGGATCATGGGACCCGTGTCCTCGCCCACACTCAAACCACACCCAAAAAAGCCTATGAAAAGGTACCAGGGGAATCTTATGGGGCCCCCTACAGACCCCGGGCCCTCGGGCAGTGCCCGAGTTCCCAAATGGTCAGTCCGCCCCTGGCCACAACTGGTGGGCAGAGCTCTTGTACGATGGATTAACCAAACTGCCAGCATTCCCCAAAAGAGAAATATCAGCTCTGGGTCGGCTGCCCCTTTTTAATGCATCAGGCTCTTCCAGTATTTGAAATGAAAACATAGCCTCAGGATCATCTGAAGGCTGACCTCCAGCAAGACTTTCACATAACACGAGGGAGAAAAAAAATGCACTTCCCGCGTCTTACTTCACAGGCTGGAGGAACTTTAGTCTCCTTCCATAAATATTTAATCTTCCCCCATCAAATATTAATTGTCGTATTACATATTTTGTAAAGCGATGTCTGGTTTGCTGTTCAGTGTGATGGCCCTTGACGCAACTGTGCGACGAGCGTTTGTTCGGGGAAGCATGAGATATAAATACCTGACTTGTTTTGAGCAGTCACAGTGGCAAAACTCAGATTTGCAATTTGCATATAGATGTTACATGGATGAGACACTAATTGCAGGTCTACCATTTGCTACGGCACTGCAAAATACGTTTAGGAAGAGTCTTAGCCTTGTGCTGGAGCATATTGAAAAGCCAACCCATCATGCGCTGTCATTACCGACCTCCTTTTAAAAACACTAGTTGGTGACTGTCAAGCTGATCCTGTGGCTTCAGTACTTTCTGAGATACTGACTTTTTTAAAAGTAGGCAAATCATGAGTTCTGACTTCACTGAGTGTGTATAAGTTGCAGAAATTTCAGCCGTGCTACAATATATAACAAGATTCCCATTTTTTGAAAGACCTTTTATCATTTAAGGCTATCCTTAAGCTCTAGTCCAAAGAATTAGATGATGCCACCAGTCTGCTGCAGGCAGAGAAAGCATTTCCTCAGTCTCTTCTCCCCCCCTCTGGAATTTCCCCCTGCTCTAGAACTTAGGAGAAGGGTCTAGAAGCAGTGCATGGCTCTGAGGAGTGGCAAGTCTGTACTCTTGGAGGATGCTGGCCAATCCCCAATAGGAGGCTTGGCAAGGGGCCAGGACAACCTTTAAGAGTAAGGGAGCCTGCTCAGTTGCAGGAGAGTTGGAGGAGTGTTCGGGTGGAATGTAGAGAGGATGTGAGGCTGGAGAGAGGAGCCTGGGAGGGGACCCAGATGGTGAGGAGCTCACCTTCAGGCAGTGGAGCTTGGAAAGAGGAAAGCTCAGGACCTTCCCTTGCCCCCAGAGTGAGGACCACCTGTGTAGCAGGGAAGGAGCAGCACAGCTACAAGAACTGGTAGCAGCCACCAACCCACCAGCCACACAGGAGAAGGACAAAGTGAGTGAACCTGCACCTCCTGGCCCAGAAAGGGGAAGGAAGCACTCTAGTGGGAAGCTGGATTAGTCTGCCACCCAGGACTGTTTCACTAAATTTGATGCAGACACCGGAACCCCTGCTCTTGGATTCCTCCAGACAGCTGGGTAAAGAAGAGGTTTTATCTGGGGTTTGAGTGGTACTACAGGAGATGCTGGCTAGCTCTCCGAAAGAGTCTGTTTTGTTGTAAAGACTTGTAAATAGTTCCAGGAAGTTGTCCTT